GCAAATAACGTTCATAATTGATGCACCCTTAGGAATGCAACGTTAACTACAGAAAGTCAAACAATGGAAAACTATGTGTGTTTTTCTTTAAACAAAAGTGGAATTAGTTATGCACGTGTTTGTTGCTTAATTAATTATTTGTACAATTTCTGTTCAGTATTTTATAACAAAGAAATATATTTAATTTCCTACAAGCAATCCTTCATTATGTACAATATTTTTGTAAAGTCAAAATGATGTTATTAAAAGTAAAATATTTGTAAAAAAAAAATGTATGTACCTGTAGCCTCCTCTGAGTCCTGCGCCTTCAGCAAGGATTAACTCTAATTCGGGCGTGGCTCCGCCGGTTATTAACGATCGTATGAGTGTTAAGGCATTTTGGTTGAAATATGTCTGCAAACAAAGATAAAAAATAATATAGATCGAGTTGGTGAAAAAAGTTGAATTCGCTTACAGTAGACATAAGAGAATCTAAGACGCTGACGGCGAAGGCCGTCCCGCAGGCGAAAGGTTGCGTCAGATACAGCTCGGTGTCGGGATCATCATCATCGTCCTGATCCAAAAACTGCACGTTGCTATCGTTCACGAGTTCTGTGATCATCGGAACGTTGGCGCCGTAAACGGAACCTCTCCTCTGCAGAACGATCGGACTTCCAACCGGTGTGGCGGCGTCCGCTTCGCCGTTCGCTTGACTCAAAACGCCGATGGTATCGTCGAAGGTCATGGCTTTGATGTTCAGGGAAGCGAGGATGGCCTCTTTGTCGGCCAGAGTCGGATCATCGTTGCTCGGTACTTTCGCAGAGAGGATGCAGCACATATCACATAAGTTCACATTGACTGCCCTCAGATCCGCCCTGCTCAACGGAGATCCCTACAAAACGCAACAAGAAATTTGCAATTGCTTTAAAATTTGTATTGATGCCATGGACTAAAACCGCTAATGTAAATCCGTGTGAACAAAAACTGTTAATTAAATTTCTCGAGAACCATTAATGTCACAGATAATGTTGTATGTGCAATTTAAAGCTAAGATTACATAGAATAATCTACGAATACTTGAATTAGCCCAACGTTTACAGATTTTACGTAATTATTTCATAGACTTCGAAAGAAATTAAGTACTTCTTTTTTTAACAAAATTTTCAATTTTTAATATAGAACAAGTAAGAAATTTATTATAATTATTTAAATTTAATTTATTGGAACAAAATAAGTTTTCAATTTTATTTTTTAATACAAAATTAGTAATAAAATTATTTAAAGTTTATTTAATCGAACGAAAAGAGCTTTTTTTTCTTCAATTAATACAAAAAATTAGTTACGTTTTATAAAGTTTATATACTTGAATTAAAAGTCATTGAAAGCGTTCTTATATTTATAACCGCTCATTGTTTTGTGTTTAATAAATTATATTGAAGATCAGGTAAGAAATGGAGAAAATAATTCACCTGGAAATGCATAGAACATACAACTTATTGGATAATTTCTCTTCATTATTGTGAGATCTGCAATTTCGTAATGAAGTATACAACAACAATAATAAAAAAAAAAGAAGTAATAAACGAGTCTTTCTTTGAATGGAAACATTTTCTTTTGTAAAATTTGCAATAGGAGGATGTTTGAAATCTTAGAACTCTTTAGAATGTTATAGAAAACGTACGTTGAGAACCGAGATTTTGGGAAGATTTTGAAGCATCTTCCACTCCCTCCTGATGTAATCCACCGATCCAACAATCACCACATGCTTCAGCTCGTGGTAATGAAAGTTGCTCGCCCTCAACGGCATCACCAGATTCCTCAAACCTATCAGCGGTGAATCCGGATCTGCGAATAAACACACGACGACGTGGCCATTCAGCACGGTCATCGCTGCTTGATTACGATCCTACAAGAAACCAGAAAAAAAAATAACCATTTTCTTTTACAAAATTTCAATTGAAAACTTACCAGAATGCAATCCTCGAGGTTCTTGGCCGGTCCCCAATGGAACATCCCGGTGCTGTCGTACTTCATTTCAGTCTTCTCAAAATCAAAGTCCTTCGCTTGGTCATCCGCCAATCCGACGGGAAGAGCGACTCCGTTGTTGTTCTGGTTAGCTCCGCCGCTCGTCCTACTCGTTGGCCTACAACCACGAAACCAATATCAACACGAAGAAGTGCATTGAAAATAAATAAACGCGCATTCACGGATAAAACCAACAACAACAACAACAAAACTAGCTCACATCTAACGGATAAATCTAAGATTTGCACTAGAGAAATTATAAATAAATTAAACCACTAGCACCATTCATCAATTCCAATTATTATTATCAAAAAAAGAAAATGCGTAAAGGAAAACGATACTTCGTTTCATGCCTTTTTTTCACTTCTTTCCTCAAGCGTTTCGTCGGTGTGCGCTCGCGTTTTCTTTGTTCGCAATCAATAAAAATTTGAACAAAATCTGGTCTTACTATCAGCAGAAACCGAAACAAAATAATTAAATCCATGTGCTAATAGTAAATTATAACAATAATAGTAGAAGAAAAACAAAGCTTGAGTCAAGAATATTATTTTTCTTTTATAAACAATCAGTTATTGGGATTAACGTGCACTTTTTTGAGTTAATCATGTTACAAATTATACGAATAATTGATAGTAAACTAGTTAATTTTGAGAGCTAAATAAATAAATTATATAAGACAGGCAAGCAAGCAACGAACATAAATTATATGACACATATTTAAGGGGGAAATAATTAAGAGTTTAGTTTAAGAGTTTAAGATATAGACGGACAGATAGATGTATATATATACAATTATTTAGAGACAGAGAAGGAGAGAGAGATTTAAAGTGTTAAGTAGTAGAGCTAAAGCGTACATGAGTTTTTTCACTTCATAGGCAAGATGATAGCCGGCATAAGATGTGGTTTCCTGCTCCGGCGCTCTGAAAATAGCACACTGCTGATAGCACACCACATATTTCGTAAAAAAACCAACAACAATAACAAACAAACAAAAATAGAAAACAGAATTGTGTAAAAAGTTAGGGTTATTATTTCCGAAAAAACAACAAAATTAATTCAATTTGTAACACACAGAAATAAATAATAATCGGATTTGGTTGCATTGAAATCAGTTTTTGTTTTTGGTGGATTCGTGTTTGTACGTGTGTTCGTTTTTTGGTGATTTGCGATTTTCATAGGTGCATCGATTTTCGGAGTTGTTTTTGTTTGTTGAGTGTTCTTGTTTAGTGAAATTTTAGTGGAAAGTTTCATGTTAATAAATTTTACAAAATAATCATAACCCGTACATTATTGTTGCTCGAAAAGTGCAAATTAAGCGTAAGTGTAATAGAGACTAATTACAGATAGATTGTAAGATATTATGTAACATTAAATAGAATTTGGAAAGATTTGCTAAAACTTTGAAATTTGAAAAATCTGTTAAAAATATTCATGAAACTGTTTAATTAACTTTAATTTAAATAATTAGTAAATATTCATACATTTTTATTCAATTAATATATAAATTGTAAGACGATAATGTAAGTTTAGATCAATAGAAATTAACGTATAAATTTATCTAAAATGATGTAAATTCAGTAAAATTAACTTAAATTTTATTAAATTCTTTAAGTAATTATCGAAAAAGTTTATATTTAAAAAGGCAAATAAAAGTACACAAATGAAGCTAACATTATATAAATACAGTTGAAATTTATACGTTTTTAATATATATTATTTCAAAATATTTGAAAAACTTCAAGAAGTTAGAAAAACATCCAAATCACGTCAATTTAGTTTTAATTGTATTTTCAATTTTCTCATCTTTTTTTTATAATTTTTCAATTATTTCACTCATTTTTCATATTATTATTATAGAAATAATGATTTTTTAATCTTATTCGAGTTTTCTCTACCTACAATTCTTAATATTATCTAATAAATTTGTCTGTTTCTTGCCAATATACAAAATAAATGTATTTCTGGTCAAGTTTCTTCAATATTTAACAATAATTTTCAATCTTAATACTTAAAGATTAAAGAAAGGAAAATAGAAAAGAAAAAATTTCAAAGTATTTGATTTTTTTTTTATAATTTTTCATTTATAGCAAAGAAATAATGAATGTTTAATCTTATTCGAGTTTTCTTTAGCTACAATTCTTAATATTAGCTAGTAAATTTGTCTCTTTCTTGCCAATATACAAAATAAATGTATTTATGGTCAAGTTTCTTCAATATTTAACAATAATTTTCAATCGTAATACTCAAAAATTAAAGAAAGGAAGATAGAAAAGAATTTTTTTTAAATATTTGAAAAACTTCAAGAAGTTAGAAAAACATCGAAATCACGTCAATTTAATTTTAATTGTATTTTCAATATTCTCATCTTTTTTTTTAAATTTTTCAATTATAGCAAATAAATAATGAATTTCTAATCTTATTCGAGTTTTCTTTACTCACAATTTTTAATATTATCTAATAAATTTGTCTGTTTCTTGCCAATATACAAAATAAATATATTTCTGGTCAAATTTCTTCAATATTTAACAACAATTTTCAATTTTAATACTTAAAGATTGAAGAAAGGAAGATAGAAAAGAAAAAATTTTCAAAATATTTGAAAAACTTCAAGAAGTTAGAAAAACATCGAAATCACGTCAATTTAATTTTAATTGCATTTTCAATATTCTTATCTTTTTTTTATAATTTTTTAATTATAGCAAAGAAATAATGATTTTGTTAATCTTATTCGAGTTTTCTTTACCTACAATTCTTAATATTATCTAATAAATTTGTCTGTTTCTTGCCAATATACAAAATAAATGTATTTCTGGTCAAGTTTCTTCAATATTTAACAATAATGTTCAATGTTAATACTTAAAGATTGAAGAAAGGAAGATAGAAAAGAAAAAAATTTCAAAATATTTGAAAAACTTCAAGAAGTTAGAAAAACATCGAAATCACGTAAATTTAGTATTTTCAATATTCTCATCTTTTTTTTATAATTTTTCAATTATTTCATTCATTTTTCATATTATTATTATAGCAAAGAAATAATGATTTTTTTTTTAATCTTATTCGAGTTTTCTTTACCTACAATTCTTAATATTATCTAGTAAATTTGACTCTTTCTTGCCAATATACAAAATAAATGTATTTCTGGTCAAGTTTCTTAAGTATTTAACAATAATTTTCAATCTTAATACTCAAAGATTGAAGAAAGAAAGATAGATAGAAAAAAATAAGTAAATACTGTGAAATGTGTGGTATGGTGTGTGTTTTAAAAAGTATTTAATAAAAAACAAAGTAATCCATGCTCTGTGTGTTTATATGTGTTCTTTAGAAGCGCTGTCATTTCTTTATACAGTAAGGACGTAACTTGTACTCAAAATTAACTGTGTTTCGCTTAAAACAAGAAGACAGGAGAGAAAACAAACCGAAAAAAAGATGTTATCCCCGAAGAAAATTGTAATAAAAGCGTTTTAAAGTAAAAGAGAAAAAATACAAATTTCTTTCTTTTATTTCGTTTCGTTCTTGTCTATTCCAAAGACGCCGCAGCCGCCTTATCATCTAAATTTCTCCGTTCGTTACCTGGCGTTGTAACCTGGCGAGACGACGTTCTCCGTTGCGGCTCTGTTCACAGTCGGTTTGACCTTGTTCACCTGCTTCGTCGAGTTCACCATGTTCCCAGTCGGTATCGTTGTACTGTTTCTATTGTTATGGTTCCTATGCGTAACTGTAATCCAGAAAAGAAATGGAGAACGAAAAAAAGAACAAAACAAGAAAATTAATAAATAAATAAACGAAAATTTTTTGTAGAGAACACAAAAAAAAAATGGTGAGAGATTGATTTGGAATGAAAGAGAAGAAAGAAAATGAGTGCTGCAATTAATGCGTTTGTTGGCTCGATGAAGCGACTCACGGTATTGGTCGTCCTGGATCCTGTTCATGTCACCTGCAATTATAAATTTTTTTTCCCCCCCAAGAGAAAAAGTTTGCAGTTAGTTCACGTTCGTTTTCATAGTTTTTCATGGATAATCAAATATATTTATCATTAATTCCTTTAGTATTAAGTCTTTAAGTTAAATTCATGTAAATTTTAAAGAATTTGATGCTTTATTTAATAAATAAAATTTGATTTGATCTGAATTTTATATAAAAAAAATTGTAAGATATTTGATTATTTCTGAAAAACTTTGCACCAATTACAAATTTTGTCGTTATAAGGGAATGAGGATTAGTTTTGGGATGTTCGTAGAACAGAGTCGTTCAAGAAAGATCTATGTAGAAAAAAATTAAACTTAAATTTTGATCTAAGAACGAAAAAACGAAAACTTAAAGTTTTTCGATACTCGTTTTGAAAAATAAAAGAAAAAGAAAGAAAATGGATTCAGTTTAAGTAATTAGTGCGTCAACTAGTAAAGTGAGTGAGTAAAGACTACATCGAACGGTTATATACCTCTGACGTGAACCTTCTTGGGTAACTCTGGTGGTGTGAAGGTAGGAGGAGGGTGATGATCATCTGTAACCACAATTCTCGATCTAGCCACGTCTACTAAGAATATCACATCAGTTCACTAGAGGCTACACAACATCGATATCAACAACAAAAAAAAAAACTTAAATCAATGGTAAATTATTGAAAATTTCCATAGACCAAAAGTTTTTTTTCTTTAAAACAAAACCTACCAACAGCAACAACTACTACAAGTTTCTAGAGAAACGTTTTATTTTTTCGGGTTGCACTAAGATCTAAGCATGCTTAAGAGAATCGCATCCCGTGCATTTAAAGAAAGCATGCCTCATGCGCACAATTCCAGTTCAATTCAATTATTGGAGATTACTATACGAGTTTATTATCATTATTAATTCTTGTTTTTTTGTTTTGTAAAGATAATAGAGAGATTCAGTGGAAAGAAAGAAACAGGTGGATAAGTAGTAAGAGTAAGCTACAGAGAGAAAAAAACGAAATTATATAAACGAAATGAAAACAAAGATATTTCAAGATTAAATAGAGATAGAGAGAACATAGAGAGAAAGAGACAGAGAGTGTTTTGTAAACGAAAGAAAACTAATTTCTTTAGATGTTGTGGTTCCGATGAATGAGGGAGAAAGTGTTTGATTTCTATTCGGTATAGTAACAATAAAAAAAACCTTGATCATTATTGTATTATTATTAATTTTTTTTTTGGACTTTTTGGCTTTTGGCTGGTGCTTCTTATAACTCTTCGGCAGACTTACTTGCGTACGTGAAGTCCTCACCTTCCGGAGTCCCAAGTTAAAGACAGTGATATAAAATGAGTCAGAAAGTGTAGTAGTAGTTTATTTTGCAATAGTCATGTCAAATGAAAAATTAAAAAACCATAGCCGCAATAATCTAATTTCTTTTAACATTAAACAGTTTAATTGATTTTTAATCAATTTTTTGTAATATTTTGTTAAAAAAATTGTGATTACAACTGAAAAATGAAATATAAAAAGAAATTTAAGAATCAGTGCGGTTATGCGAAAAGAAGGCCATGAAATCGAAGAGAGATTCAAAACGGCGATTCGTTTGTTATATAGTCAAGGCCAGGGAGATGTTCGGAAAGTAAATGAGAAACAATGGAGAAAGTACACACACATCGAATATAGATATAAAGTATTAATTAAAAAAAAAATCAAATTTTCAATCCTATAGATGCTAGGGTTTATGTATCAAAAGAAAAATGTACGAGTAGATACACCAAAAATACAACGCATTTCCATCTACGCTTTATAGAAGTTAAACCGAGGTTGGAAATACTGATAACTAACGATTAAATAAGTAAATAATAGGACACCAATATAACTAAATTAGTTCTGTTCACAAATCGACTGATCAATAAATTAAATTAAAGAAAAGAAACAAATTTAAAAGCCTTTAAAAACACCTCTTCGTATTTGTATAAATATATTATATTTTTTTTTTGTTATATCAAAATCAATCTAATTTGTACACATCGATCGCTATGTTCCAAAAGAAAAGTAATTAATTTAAAAAATTCAATAAATTTACACTAAATGAGTGTTGAATTTGGATGAACAAAAATTATTTTGTGTGAAAAAAAAAATTGTAATTTGAGAATAAAATAGATTTATGTACATAAAATACGCATAATCAGAGATAAAAAATAAATACGAAAATTTTTTTAAATTTGAATAATTATTTTGTGTGTGTGTGTTGATTTTGTGTGGTTTCTGTAGATTCGAATGTATGGATTAATGAGAAAATTAAAATAAGTTTTGTGTGGTTTTCTTTGTGTGTTGTATTTTTTTTTTGTGGTTTGTTGATAGATTTATTATGTAATGTATACGTACTTGCCCGGCCGACCATTTGTATGGCCCGAACACTCTTCCTGAAGGTAGCCACTAAACCGCACCGCATCAAGACAAAAGACATCAAATGAGTTAGTCAGGAAAGAGAGCGGGAAAGGTTTTTTCATTCTCGTGTGCAGAGAGACAAGACGACACAAAACATACATTTTCGGACCATGTTTTCGTTTTTTTTTTCTCACTGAATCAACAAACACACTCACTCGACCGATTCGACGGACAAAGATTCCAGAAAGAAACAAAAACAATAGAAAAATAAGTAATAAACAAAGGGAAAACGAAACTAACTTGATGTAATAACAAAAAAATAAAAAAACAACAACACCCTGGGCTTCGAATAAGAGACAAAAAATTATAATTAGCTTAAGAGTTGAGGAAAGTTTACTAAATGAAATTCGTACAAACTAAATGGGGATTCGATTAAATGGGATTCCTTCAAAGTAATCTCAATAATTAATCAATTAGTTTCGGTTAATGATCAAAACTTTGTTAATCGCAAATGAAACTCAACAAATATTCGCATTTTATTTTGCGATAATAACGTTCATTAATTTTAATTATTACAAAATGAAATTATGAAAATTTTTGCATAAACAACAAAAAAAAAATAGACTTTGATAATAAGTTGATCACTAAATTAATTGAAAAATCGTAATAAATCTATATTTGTTAAGAAATTTAAGTTTGATTCAAAATGAAATGCGAATATTGTTAATTATTTTTTTCATGTATGATTTTTTCGTACTTTTTTTTCGTAAAAAATGGAATTAACTGTGATTGCGTATTTAGCTTTAGCTCTTAAAAAAAAACAAATGCGGATTAATTACTGTTTTTTTTTTCTTTCTTCATTTTTATACAAGTATTACGCAAAGCGTTTACGAAAAAGCATGGCGCTCGCACGAACAATTAAGTAGGCTCAACATCATTTTTTGCAGCAACAATTGATAAAATTAGAGCAACGAGAATTAGTTTTGTTTGGAGTAAAAAAAAAAATAAAGATTCAAGCATCGATGTTCCAATACATTCTAAATCGGAGATGTGTTTGAAACAAAAGAATATATTTTGTTTTATGTGTGTGTGTGTTTTGTTTTGATCTTCGATTTGCGTGTAACTAATTGACTAATTGACGTAAATAAATTACAAATAACAAATTAAGTTAATCTAGATAATGTTTAAAGCTAATGATAATAATAGTGGACGTAGAATGTATAGGAACAAAGTACGTTTTAAGAAAGCAGCTGAGAATGGCATGTAGAAGGGTAGCCTACCCTCCATGAGAGTGTGATAGGTGGAATTAAGCCCCTGTTTCACCATGCCTGACTGCATCATCATCATACCAACATCTGAAAAAAGAAGCCAAAAAAAAAGAACAAAAAAATTGCCATGTACAACAACCGAAGGACAGACAGAAAAAAAATGTAGTAGTAGTAGTGTGTGTACACTGGAAAAACAAAATATAATCGATCAGGTCAGTGGTTTCCAAACTTGATGTTACTACGCCTCCCTCAAAAAAATGTTATCATTTTGCGCCCCCCCAAACTCCTCAATTTCATAAAAGGAACGCGTATTACAGCAGTATGGATAAGAGCATTTTATAAACTTTGAACACGAATTACAGCCGAACGGCTAAAACCACAGTAATATATGAATACTTGTTACATTCCTAGTTATCGAGAAAATCAGTAAAATGTGAAAACACTGCTTTTTCGAGCATTTT